CCTCTCTCTCTCTCTGTCTGTCTCTACCTCTCTCTCTCTCTCTGTCTGTCTCTCTACCTGTCTGTCTGTCTGTCTGTCTCTCTCTTGTATCTATGGTCAGTTGTCCACACAGGATCTTAAACCCAGAGGTGAATGATGTGAGACTGGTCCAGGACCTCAGCGAACTGTGGCCCCCCCTGGTCGTCGGTATCGGCCGCTCCGCCCTGCAGCAGCAGAGCCAGGGTGACGCAGAGCAGCAGCGGGCCCCACAGGTCCCAGTCCCGCAGCAGCGCCGAGCTCCGCTTCGGGTACAGGACGTGGATGAACTTGTTGCCCACCGCCCGCAGGTCCCGCAGGATGGTCTCCTTCACCGGCTCGTCCAGCGTCGAGTACTCGTCGTCTCTCCTGGAGGAGCCGACGGGGACGGAGATGTCCCCCTCCACCGGGATGTCCTCCGAGATGGACACATCGGACAGTCCGGCGAACGGCCTGCTGGCGTCGTCCGCCGCCGCCATCTTAACCGCGCAGGGAGGCTTCACACACGGGGGCTAGTTCTGCTGGAGCCGGAGACACCGACACGACCGGGCCAACGTTGACGTGACAGACACGGAATCGACCCCACGGTTCTGAACCACTCGATTCAGATCCGGTTCATCCGGTTCGACTGCTCCACGTCAGCCGAGCTTTGTTTACTTCCGCAAGACGTCATCACGTACATCCGTGTGGAGCGTTCATGCACACCGGCTCATCTCGGAAATTTGATATACACCTAAAATAAAACTTTCTTGGCTTGTTCGTGTTCTTTTAAGTATAATAATAATAATAACAACAATACTACTACTACTACTACTACTACTACTAATAATAATAATAATAAACTTTATACAGCCCTTGACTTTGGCAGCAAAGCAAGAGAAGTAAATATAAGTATACATTCAATTAATACATATACAGTTGTGTCACATGAAAACAGAAAAGATTTCTTAATTAACATTAAATGAGAATATGAGAATCGATCATTATTTCATTTTAAACCTCACTATTCAACCTCTGGTGCCTGTTGATCTGTGAAGGTTTATAAATAACGACGGTCCTCGAAGGCATCATTTTGCGATGACGCATTAAATATGCGACTCTCGTTCTGTTGACGTCAGTTCATGTTCACCGGCTCCAGAGAAACACGTTTCTGGATGAAACGTGAGTTTGTGTGTCTGCGTTGTGTTCACAGTCTCTCAGGTTGTGTAGTTTGTTTGTGACTTGTGTGTCTGTGTTGTGTTCGCAGTCTCTCAGGTTGTGTAGTTTGTTTGTGACTTGTGTGTCTG